ATAAAAAATTTAAATTATTATTACCATTATTGTCGTTGTTGTTATTATTGTTCGTTTACCACTGTAAGTTTGTTTAAGAGAAAGGACTTTAACGTCCATATCCAACAGAACAAAGCCAATTGGCCTGAGAGTTTTTAAATACCACCCAAACTAATCCAAGTGAAAGAATACCACGTTTGGGATTCAAACCTATGCAATCCGCCCGCAGACCAGCAGGATGGCAACTGAGCTAACGGAGGGCTCTAACAGGCTCGGAATAACATTTCATCTGCAGATATGGCAGTCGTCCAATGTTTTGTTTTTTCATTAGTTTTTAGTAGGAGTTTTTACGCACTTGCAACACAAAAAGGTGAGATAAGTGCCCGTTTTCCAATAGACGAAATTTGCCTGACAATACTGAACGAAAAGAAAGTCTGCACCAACTGCGCAGGCAAAAGGCAGATGTGCCAGATACCAAGGGTGATACTCAAAACTAAAAAAAAAATTAAAAAAATCACCCCCCCCCTTCCACCAGAGAATAAAAAAGTCGCATCGACGGAACAACAGCGCTTGATATCAGGTGTTTCCTTCGCAGCTTTTTAGTAATACAAACCCATGAATTTATCAATCAAGGTTTCAAGTTCTTCACAAAAAAACTTACATCTTTCAAACTTATATACTTTAGATTTATAAATTGTAACACAAATTGCAGACAGTTAGCCCTGTTTCTCACTTCAGCAGAACATTTGGCAAAATTACTGTTTTGACTGTAACTTGTGGACAGTGGTAATAACAGAAGCCTGCGGCACCAATACAGCATAACCAGTTAGCTATGCTTCACATAATTTCATTGTCCACAACTCACCGTCAAAGCAGAGTTCTATCCAACTGTTTTGTTGCAGTGTGGAACTGAGCCTGTACAATGTACTTTCAGTGCAATAAAATTGGTCAATGCATGGAAGAAATTCACCGTGGTAAGGGAGATAATACATCTCTCACGACACATGACGTACTTTCACATTAGTTATGTCCCTTAAAATTGAAGCCCCTCCAGCAATATTATCATGCTAAAATGGACATCGGCAACCCTAAATAAAGCTGCCTTTTGTTCTTGAGAGCTGAAAATTTGTGCTTTGGAACACTGAAATATTTCGTACTACTTGTTCACTTAATGTTTAGAATTATGATTGATTTTGTAATGAGACAGAGCAAAGACATTGAAACAGGCATTGGAAGGACAAATGGCACCTATTTAGGAGATTTGGATTTTACGGATGGCATCTGCCTATTAAACACCACAGTACACGAAATGCAATTTAAAAAACCCCAACCAAACGAACTAGAGAAAGCTGCGGAGAAAGTTGTCCTTATGATAATGTATCTAAAATAGAAATACTACGACTATCGTCAGAAACTACTCCCATCACTCTTTATGGAGAACCCCTTGCAGAAATGAGTAAATTTAAGTACCTTGGCAACACTATATCAAAATCTGCAGACTGCCTTGACGACGTCCACCAAAGGTAAGGATCGCTTTTGTGAAACTAAAAACTATATGGATGTCAAAGATTATTTCATTGGAGACGAAATATAAAAAAAATATGATAGCAATATTTTGGCTGTATTGACGTATTGCTCAGAGGTATGGAAAACAAATAAAACAATTCAATGAAAATGAAATAGTTTTCGAAGAATTTTACCAATAAAATGGAATGAATTTATTACAAATAATGAAGTATTGGAAAGAGTTAGAATTGAAGATATCAACACAATCATAAAAAGGAGAAGATGGAGATAGCTAGGATCTGTTCTAAGAATGCCGAAGACAAGATATGGCTTTGGAAACCAGCTGGGATAAAAAATGAGGAAGACCAACTGGAAGATGTTGAGGCACAATAAGGGAAGAGGCAATAATCCTGGCCTGGATTTGCCGAAATTGGAGGACGTGGCCAGGGACTGGCAAACGTGGTGTCGATTGCTCTCCGCCTTATACAATGTATACCTGACGGTTTAGGGAGAGAGTGAGTAAATACGTTCCCTTAATTCTCTTAGCATGGATAAAAGTTCGTCTATCATGAACTAATGATGACATTTACTATCCAACGGTTTAAAGAGAAGGTGTTTGCCAAGCTCTGAATGAAGAAATTTCGAATATTTCTCCAGTCAAAACAGGAGAAAATTGAATGAACTCGTTTGAGACTGAACCTGACGCTATAGTAATAGTAGATCCATGTCACTCAATGGCACTTTATCAGTTTATGAGATAAATTAATATTAATTCTAATTCTTTCAGCTTGGCCGAAAACTATTGATCTCATTTTCTAAAACAGACAGTTTTGCTTATTGTGGAGCAATACTCATTATTAATAATTTGGTCAACTCGAAGGCCAGACTGAAACTGCTCGCGGGCCGAATGTGGCTCGCGGGCTGTAGTTTACGCGTGCCTGTTATAGAATTAGGTAGCACCCCCCCCCCTCTCTCTCTCTCTCTCTCTCTCTCTCTCTCTCTCTCTCTCTCACTCTTTCTTTATCCCCCCCTCCCCCATTCAGATAGCTTTGTTGTCAATAAAACCAATACTAACGTTTCTGCCTCACGCCCCCCTCTCTCTATCTCTCCCTCTTTCTTTCTTCCCCCCTCCCCGGTCTCTTCCA